CGTCTATGTGTCTGGCAAACTCAAAAACCAATCCATCTGTGAGGTTTCAGTATGTAGCTATCTTCACTCAACACGTCTTCTATGTGTCCGGCAATCTCCAATACAAATCACCGGTGAGGTTTCAGTATGTCTTTCCTCACTCAAAGCGTGTATGTATGTGTCCGGCACTATCCAACATCACTCACCTCGTGAGGTTTCAGTATGTAGCTATCCCCACTCAGCGCATGTGTCTGGCAAACTCAAAAAACAATCCATCTGTAAGGTTTCATTCAGTATGAAGCTATCCCCACTCAACGCGTCTATGTTTCTGGCAACCTCAAAAACCAATGAATCTGTGAGGTGTCAGATTGCAGCTATCCTCACTCAACACGTCTATGTGTCCGGCACTATCCAACATCACTCACCTCGTGAGGTTTCAGTATGTAGCTATCCCCACTCAACGCGTCTATGTTTCTGGCAACCTCAAAAACCAATGAATCTGTGAGGTGTCAGATTGCAGCTATCCTCACTCAACACGTCTATATGTCCGGCCATCTCCATCAAAAATCACATGTAAGGTTCAGTATGGGTCTATCCTCATTCAACGCGTCTATGTGTCCGGCACTCGAACATCACTCAACCCGTGGGGTTTTAGTATGCAGCTATCCCCACTCAATCGACCCGTCCATGTGTCTGGCAATCTTAAACCTCACTCAACCCTTGGGGTTTCAGTATACAGCAATTTCACTCGACACGTCCATGTGTCCGGTAATCTCCTACATCACTCATCCGTGAGGTTTCCGTAAGCTTTCCCCACTCCACGCATCCATGCGTCATGCGTCTTTGGTAGCGCATACTATGGGGCTATATTTGGGGTGGCATGTTTTACAGCGCTACAGCGCCAACCCACTTAAGTCTAGAATGGGGGGGGTACACTGTTTTTATTTTTGCGCGTCTAACGGTAGTCAACAATAAAATCGGGCTTACAAATGCCGGCACTCTTGAAGCTTATTTTTTGTTGTTGCCGCGAATGTACAATAAATCGGTGTGTCGTGTACTCTGTGGACACCGGCTGGTACATAGTTTTCGCGGCAAGGCATGGACTTTTCTCGGGCTTGGACAACCTCGCCTGCAACCAAACACAGATACAAATGTCCCTTAACTGGGTTTGGGCCGGCGTTTCCGAACCCTGCCTGACCTTGGAGGTTGGCAACGGTGCGCCCGACCGGGTTACGCAGGTTGTACAACGCCTAGGGGTTACAGATCTAACTCCCCCGTAACCGTGCCCACTGGCCACCTGTGTCTGTTGCCTTCTCATCGGCGGACAATTTGATACACACCACACGTACACCCATTTTGCCACCGCCACCATCAAGACCAAAGCGACGCAATTGTTGGCACAGCAACAAGATTCACTATCGTCCGTCAAGAAGGACCCCTCTCTAATACCCTCCCCTCCTGCGGTACGTTGCCTTCGATATTTAGTGCCAGAAGAGTTCAGCACTCTCTTTCCTCTGTGTATACACGAACTACCGCTATCCACTAGGCCAGGAGCGGAAGCGGATAAAAACTCACTTTGCAAACCCCTGACCTGACCTCTGGAAGATGTCGAGGATGCCAACTATTATATATATAATATATATATAATAGACCACCGTGGCGACCGGGCCATTAGTCTACTAATGTTTTTTTGCAGGAGGGCCTCTTCGCGGTAATGCTTCCCAGACGGACAGAACACATTCCCCGCAGATATCCTCTGCGCCTGTCTAACCGTGCCTCTGCCCTAACTATTGTCTCTCTCGCTCTCACTATCAACCAGGATTTCTCCTTTCACTGGGTACTCTTCTCATTTACCCTGCCCAAGTCAAGATCGTAGTGAGGTTATCACCCCTGCATGCAGTGTTGTTAGAACTTTTCTCTTCGGATTGCCTCCCCACTCCGTGCCCTCCGGCGGCTGTCTGGCCTCTCATATTATCCCTTTCTCTCCAAAGTACGCGGAAAACCCGTCGCGAATCCCCCGCATTGTTTACAGCATGTTTCTTGTGCGAATTCGACTTCCACCTCCCTGGCCCCTGGACTACTCATCCCGAAACCTCCCCCCAATGCGCCAGGTGGAGGCCGCCTCTGGCAGTTCGATCACTTTGAAATACAACGGCTTGTACCTCCTGGGCCCGAACAAATTTGCTGTTTTTGCCGATTTGTGTGTTGGCTTGTCTTGCCTTTACGACCTTAGTAACAACCGCGAATGCGGTTTCGACGGCGGCGATTGCTGTCCCACCTCACCTCGAAACAACGTTCTCCCGCGGAGAAACGATGTTAAGACTCGGGCTGGGATTGGAACAGGTGTGTCGCACGCGGCCGAACCCTGGACTAGACTGGAGATGGCATCTACAACCCCGAAAAAACCTTGGTTACTTATTTCGTGATGAAGTTGGGCTTGACGGCGCTGACTTGGACTCCCCTGGAGATGATACACCGTTGACGGCATGCGTCCAATATGGCCCTTTGAACGACCCTGTACTTGTTGGTTGAGCAGAGAACAACATTGTAGAGTGCCGCTACGACGGCGGCGACTGCTGCCACTGCGACTGTTCCTCCTCCAACGATCAATGCGGGTCATACGGGGACAACTGTAAGGATCATCAGTCGGACTGCAAGTATCAAGACTGTCACGACAAGGGCGGTGTAGTGAAACGGATCGGCGACGGCGCATGCGACGATGGTCCCGAGGGCAACTTGTCTGCAGAAACACTAGACGTTGAGTGATTATGGACTCCCTCGCTTGGCGAATCGTCACGGATCGTTTGGGCAACGCATTGGTTGGCGATACAAAGGGCATATCAATGCGGGTGGTGGAAACACTGTAGTAGAGGTGTTGAAACACAAAAAAGAAGGCGAACTGAGGATTTTTGCATTGAACACCTACAGGGGCAAGTACTGTACCGTATCAAGAGCAAGGAAAAGTTTTTCGCCTCAATCCAAACACCACATTTTTCCAAAGCACTACTTCGTGCTTGTGTCGTGATTTGTCAAGATGTCCGTTGTCTTCAACCCCCGTGCAGGCAACAATAATATCATAGAGTGTGGTTACGACGGCGACGACTGCTGCACAGGCGGCGACTTCTTTACGACATCCGATGCTTCTTCTGATGGTGAGTGTCTTCTTGTGGAATGACGCCGGCTCTGGACCCCACTTGAGACGGTGCATCACTGCTATATCTCAATGACCAACATGCCTGGAAGACATTTGTGTGACAAGTTGGCTGGGGAACCACGGCGGCGACCCTAAATTATGGACATTCAAAAAGAGGGACCGGACGTGTCGTTTATGTCCTTGGGCTGGCGAGGGTCGGCAAAACGGCAGAAACATGTCCTCCCGGCTAGACGACAGTGAGCGACCACAATCACCATACCATGGAAATATCTGATCGATTACGGCTAATCCATTGGACCGCTCAGCAGTCAAGCGTCTGAATTGGGCTGTTATTGCCTAACTAAATCGATCAAAAGACAGTCGAATGGATTAGCCATAATCCATCAATGTCCGAGCGGGAAACGGGAGACAGATACTGCCGATTGACACCTGATATGTATCCGCCACCGGGGATGGTTCCTCTCTACATTTGAGATGGAGGGCGTTTGTCAGCGTCTGTCTCTAGTCTACATTCAAGACTTCAAAAAATATTGTACGGAAAAACGTTGAAACTACGGTACGACTCGTATGCAAGTGCATGGAATTCTCTCCAAACGGGAGACAAGTTGAACCACGACTGAATGTTGAGAAGTA